ATTTTGCTTCAGTCTTCACTAAAAAGGTTAATTGTGACCAGATGCTTAGCACAAACATGATTAATATTAACAATGGGGAAGGAACCGAAGACAGATTAGGGAATGAACATGTGAAAGAATATTTAGGTAAATACGATGTTTTCAAATCAGCAGGGTCTGATGGTCTAAGTAACAGTCAGCATAATTTATCAAGAACAGGGTAACAAGCCTTGTGGATGGGGAAGCAGAAGATGTGGTATATCTTGACTTTAATAAGGCTTCTGATACGATCTCAGGTGACCTCATAAACAAACTAGAAGATAAGGTGCTAAGTAACAGTTAGCATGGATTTGTCAAGAACAAATCATGTCAAACCATGATTCTATACTTAATGAACTGAAGCAAATCTCTGAACTGTTAGTAAACCTGACCTCTGAGGAAGGTTGAAAAACTAGGTATGCTAGTCTTGGGGGGGGCAGGGGGGTGGGGTGGGGTAGGGAAGGAGACTGAAGCAGGGACCCGATAAATACTTTTCAAATGTGTTACAGACGGTTATAAAGAAAATGGTGATCAATTGTTCTCCATGTTCACTGAAACTACACTGAAAATGTAGTAATAGGCTTAATCCGCAGCCAGGGAGATTTAGGTTAGATATTAGGACAAACTTTCGAACTATAAAGGATAGTTAAGTACTGAAATACAGTTACCATGGGAGGTTGTGGAATCCCAGTCAGTGGAGACTTTTGACAGGTTAGACAAACACCTTAGGTCCTACCTCATGACTGGGGGATGGACTAGTTGACCTCTTGAGGTTCAATTCCAGCCCAGCATTTCTATGAATATAGTATCAGAGGGGTAGTGGTGTTAGTCTGGATCTGTAAAAGGCAACAAAGAGTCCTGTGGCACCTTATAGACTAATCCACGAAAGCTTATGCTCCAATACTTCTGTTAGTCTTTAAGGTGTCACAAGACTCTGTCGCTTTTTACATGAATATAATAGGAATTCCACCCAAAAACTAAAAATCTTAAGTACATGAAAAATGGAATTATAATGGAAACAGTTTTGTACTCTTAAATACAGATTTGGCTTCCAGGTGCCAACTGTAATATTAAAGTTGAAGCAAGGTGATTAAAACAGTGACACATCAATCCAGGGGAGGGGAGAAAAGACCTCAAAAGAGTGCCAGAATATCCAAGTAATCAAACCATTTATTAACTCAATAGTCTTGTGTGCTTTATAATAATTTTAAGATGGGTTAAATATTGCATCCATAACAAATGGGATAAGACAAAGGTAATCAATAAGCAGACCATAGGCCAAATCCAGACCACCAGACACTTCTGAACAGACCCTGAAACCTCTTTATTTACTTATTATTATTATTATAATATTTTACTATTTTCTCTAGAGTCTGGATCTTGATAAAGAAATTTGGACTTTCACAAAAAATAACTGACTACCCCAGGATAAGATCTAGAGATACATATACTAACTACAAGACCCTCAACACCACGGTGCTGAATAAAATAAGAGAAAGTATTACCACTTACCCTCTTTGGCCCACTAAAAATCTTCCTGGTGTTCTCCTTAGATTTATCGCCTTGTTTATTTGTGGACTTCTTATTGCTTTCAGGCACACCAGATGAATCCTCTGAAAAATCCAGTAGATCTGTAAAGGTAAATAATGAAAAGATATTCTAGCAGTCAGCCACTTTCCACAAAATTCTGTTCTTGTACCTAAAGTGCTACATTTTAAGGTGCTGAAATTATAGATTAGTTAATGACATTCTCAAATTTACAATAGTTTTTTGAAACTGCTTGAGACTACAATGCAGCATTTAAACATTTGACAAAAACCTGATGTTAAGAAGGTTTTAGTTTATACTTGGTTATAGCATGAGAAGTCAAATTTCTACCCAAACACTGGTTCAAGACCTATACTTGAAAAGGTTAACCGATCTTGAAAGAATGTATACTGTTTCTAACTGGTTTCTGGGATAGCAGAACTAAGAGCTTTATAAAGCTAATATTTCACAAGATAAATGGAAGTTATATTGGAAAAGAAGTGGAATAAATCAAGATGAAAGTCAATGTTTTTAAAGTACATTACCCTGTAATGGGTAAAGGTTGGAAACAAAAATGTATACTACTGGAAGTCTAACGATTGAGACCATTTCAAGCCCTCAGAGTTCATATACCAAACCTTAAAACTGACAGTGGCCTTTCATATTGACAGCTTTTTTGGCACAGGCAAGTAGTGTATAGTAATCTCACCCCTTAGGATTATACAAATTTGTCAGTCAGTCATCAATCTGAATCTTTGTAAAAAAAATTGCTTTAATTAAATTCATCTTTGTACAAATTTATGTTCATACCTCACTTTTGAGAGGAATGCAAATATTACTCAGAAGTATAGTGGATATACTTTTGAATCTTAACTATTTCTAGTGGCATTCCCACTTAATAGACAGCTTGCTAGAAATAGGTGAGAAAGGTTTGCAGATGGAAGGAACTAGTTGGCAGTGGTCTCAGGGGTTCTCTTTTCAGTATACCCGGATTCTGCTGCCCAGATCCCTCTGGTACTCAAAATTTTGGTTGTAGATCTCCAACATTAATTCATATGACCCTGCCTTCTCTTCAAGATGGAGTCGACAGGAGAAAAGAATTTTCATTTGTGTTGCAGGGTCGTAAGCATAAAGACTTGGAAACTAGTCTGCATGTTCTTTGATTTGGTGCTACTCAGATGTTATCACAGACTTTATTTGGGAAGTGGAGGCAGGAACAGAGAACACAAAATTAAACTCATGTTGTTTAAATAAAAAAACTGACCATGGTTTACTCCTAGTGAGCTACCCTTATTTTAGAACTGTAAGACATGCAAGCATGCTGGATCAATTGCTCTATTAAGTTATTTTGACTTTTCCACACCCACACACCAACAAATATTGAACGTTAGGCAATATGTTTTTCACAATACAGGTATCTGAACTCACTATGCCTGTAGAAACCATTAACATTTTCAGATACTTTTTGTTACAATTTGAAAATTGTTAGATTGATACATGCAATAGTATTTGAAACAGTTTTAGACTAGAGCTCAAAATCCTACAGTAATATAATATTCTTTCATTATGGTAAAATAATCCAAAAAGTCTTAAAATTTAGCAGTAGCCCAAGGGAATCAATGTGCCTAATGTGCCATTAAAAAACAGTACAATTGCCTACCAAGTGACAAATCAATCGTAGCTATAGTAATAGAAACAAAAAAGCAGGCATGAAGCCTGCAGTGCTGCTGCTGTGGCTGGCTCACTGAGCATGCACTGGGTTTCATGCAGCAGGATTCCATGATAAGTTACATATTCTAATGGCATTAATTATGATCAGGGCTTCTTACCTTCTCTGTGAAATTACATAACCAGTAAATGGATATGAAATGATGTCAATTTCTTAGGTAATCCTACAATCAAACATCAAAAGCAAGCCAAATACTGCCTAATTAGGTCATCTTAAGGATCCAACGCAGCTTCAAACTGCATTTAGTTGAACAGCAAGAAAAACTGACTCCTCTGCATTTCAGATCCCTTGCTCCATTTATCAAAAATCCAGCATATTAGATTTTTATTAGTGATCCATTAAGTGCATTTTGAAATTTGTGTATTTTTTTTTTTTTTTTTTTTTTTTTTAAATCGGCACTTCAAGATGACTTAATTTGATAGTATTCAGGGAGCCCACCAAGCTAGTGCCTGTCACGGTCAGCAAATAAGGAAACTTTTTCTGATTTGTCCACTAAAAGTTACTGTACATGTATGACACCACTATCTATATTCAATATCGAAACATGTGCAAGTTTAAATTAGGTCATCTTTACCCAGGGTCAATTCTGAAAAAGTCTCATCTTCGAGATTAATTTTAACAATATTTAGGGTTTTTATATATATATAAATATATATATCAGAGATTGAAAGCTCCTCCCCTCGCCCCCCCAACCTCCAAATATCAAAAACCTAGCCATGAAACAATCTCTGAGAAAGCTGACAATGTTATGAAGGTAAAAGGTCTTGAGGCGCTTGGTCACCAATTTATGGAAAGTTCAGTATTTAAAAAAAATCCTTAGCACCCACTCAGCAAGCAACAAAAAAATTTTAATTGAACTATTTTATGCAATAAAAATTATTGCATAAAATAATCTGTTTTAGAGGAAGATAAGTTTACAGTAACATTTAGAACAAGGCAATCAGTCAAACAGCTTATTTCCTGAAGTTTCTTCAAAGCATCTCACGTAGAAACATATTTATAATGTATGATTTCAATGTTATGTAATGTCTATTTTCATAGGCTGTTTCCCTCACACTTTTTGGAGAACTGTCCCAGGGAAAAATGTGTCTTCCTAAATCCTGTGAAAGTGTGTTTCTTTTACTTTTTTTGGTGGTCTGCAGGACCACTGCAATTGACAAAAATTTCATAAGAAAATTGGGAAACTGGAATATAGGGAAGAGAAAAAAGGATCTATAAAGGGGCACGCTTACAGAATATGGAAAAATAAAAACTAAAAATACTGCTATAGCAGTATTAGAATTTCCAAAACCTAAAAATGTTTCTTTTGTAGGACCTTTGGAAAGATAGAAGAAAATGAATAGAATAGGCATTTTCCATCGTTTTCCACAGCACACAGAGTTTCATTTTACTCTTAATCTCAGACTCTGAAATGCTCCTTGATTAAGGCCTGCCTATCCTTGTGATTAATTGAAATTCCTCTTGGTTGAGAGACCATTCCCTTTGATTTTCAACCTGTGTAGCCAGTCTGTCCTGGTATTCAGCATTTTCTATGCACAGCCTTGATAGAATCACATTGTACTTTGGCCACTGAAATATTATTGGTTTTAAACGTAGTGGGGTTTTGGCTCTAGACAAACAAACAATTTGTTTACTTTCTTGTAGGGGAAGTTAGTTGGGTAGTATCATTGTTTTGCAATTTTGTAGGACTGCAATGTGGAGTGAAAAAGTTTTTCTCCATCCTGATGCTAGACTGCCTTTTAATCAGACTATTTTGGGCTGCAACTGAAGAACTGGACACAAGGGAATTCTTAATTGGGAGTCAAAGCATAGATACAAGATTTCAGGCTTACAGCAACTCTGGAGTGCCTCAGTGTTTGGAAAATGTTGCTATGGAAAAGACTAGGAACTTGGAGCCTGGAAGATTTTTATCCCTTTTTGTGTTTTTGCCCTTAGGTGGACCAATTCTTCACGTACACAGGTGAACAAGAGTAACGTCTGGAAGGGACTTGATTCAGGGAAACATTCTGATTCACACTGAATCCTTTGTGGACTAATATTGCCTCCTTATAGTCTTATCAGATTTCCAGTGGAGTAACTCTAGAAACCTTTAAATGTGTATGACTGGATGTAAGCTTTTTTCTTCCCATCTGTCAACATTCAGAATAAAATGAAAGGAATAGTGCATTTCTACTTAGCCTGAATGTTATTCTAAGAATATTTTCTAGGGTTCTGTAATTTGGCACAGATTTTTGTTTGAAGTCTTACAAAAAACAATGGGATATATGTTTAGACAGATCAGGAACCAAGTTGGAGCATGGCAGAAGTGTTGCATGGGTTCTGTAGAAAGCCAGATTCCATTTTTAAATATGCTGCAAACTGAGGTATGAATTCAACACTGCTGTGAACTGAGGGCAGTATTTAAAACCCCCACTAATGCCAATGGGAGTTTTGCACCAAGATGGGGTGGAATAGAACCTTTATGCAGGAAAGGACATTTTTTCCCAGTACCTTATTTTATATCAGTGGCAAAATATGTTCACCGTTAGGGCAGAAACACCAGTGGTCCTATCTTTCTTCCTCTTTCACCTTCCTGTTTATCTCCTTTACATTTTTCCCTCTGCATTTCATTCCCTGTAACAATATTCAGTTCCCATGCCCCATTGGGATTCACTCCCATCTGCTTCCCCCTACTGAAGTGATCAGCAATGGGAGTGATAAAACTCACAAAGTAACACTAGACCTTAGAGGTAATATCTTTATGAGATTATGACAGTGCTAAGCAGTGAGGTTCACATTTAGTGCTTGAAGGAAAAACAACCAAATTCTTGTGAAATTCCAAGGGTTCTGGGATCTTACATTGTCTCCTGCTGTGGGTTGGAGGGGAAAGATACTCCATGCCCACCCACACTTGCTAAAATGTTTGACATCTCTAGGAGATTATGGCCCTGAAGATTCAAGAAGGAAAAGCCTGACTGCTCTGAGTTCTGGAAAATGTATATAATGTTTTAGGGTCTGCTGGATGCCAAGCTTTGTGAAACGTGTTCGGTCTCAACTGTGCTTCTCAGTCTGTCAAAGGGTCTATTTCTAAGAGAGATGAAATAACATCCCTTGATTATATGCTGTGGATGAGTCCTCCTTTTCAGAGGGCTGTCTAAACAGTAAGGGTGCGTCTGATTGTCCATGTTTTTGGAATATTTCAGCCTATCAGCAAAAAGCTTTAAGCTTGATGAATTTAAGCTTGTTCATCAGATGAGGCCATAGACTATCACAGAGACAGCCTGGTTTTCAAAAAATGACTGACACCAGAGAGTGCTCTCCAAATAGCAACAATAAAACTATTTTTTGTATGTGGGGAAAAGGGAGATGCCAGCTCAGGCACAGAAACCGGGAGCAGAAGCAGGAGCCCTTTGACCTTGAGTAGGAGGATCTAATCAGATTGCTCAAACAATGGAAAAAACAAGCTGTTGATGCTAAGGACCTTCCCTTCCTAATCCCTCAAGTGTCTCTCCCTTATTTCTCAATGTAGCATGAGTCTGGTAGGAGGAAACAGTAAGAAAATTCAAGTTTTTTTGGTTCTGAGCTCAAAATTTATGAATCTAGGTTCAACCTTTAAGTCCAGTAGTAATCATTTAAATGGACCTCCTGTGTAGCATAGGCCACAGAATTTTACCCAGAACATTGTGTCTTGAGCCCAATAACTTGCAGCTGAATTAGGGCATCAGTAGAAAGACCTCTGCTTTCCAAGCATGGAGACAGAACAGTGGGAAGGGGATATTGTTGCATTGTGGTTTACAGGCCAAGAGATGCAACCTGTTTTCAGTAGAGAGAGGAATCTTTTCCTCTGGCATGAGATTAAAAGGAAGATAAACCATTTTTTTGATAACTATGGAGCAGTAGGCACCCATGACAGACAAGCAGAAGCTAAACTCCTACATTTTTGAACTAGTGAGTACTGTAATTCAAGAGACTAAGAACTTTAAGGATATCATAATTAGGTTACAATTTAAAATTAAGTAGATTTAAGCTTAAAATCTTATCAAATCCAGAAGAATATTGCTTACCTGCATTAGTGCTCAATTGGGTGTCCTGGGAAAAATTCTCATTGCCATCAGAACTAGACTGAAATGAGGAAGATGGTGCTGTTCTATTTCGTTTTTTGTTAGGTTTCCTTTCTGCTAACTGCCAGTCATCTTCATCATCCTCACTTTCACTCAAGTCATCAAACCCAAAGTATTTAATTTTATAATTGGAGCTTCCAGAGCCTCCTTCATCTCCCCCACCCTCATCATGGTCTTCAAACCCAAAAAACTCCAGTTTGACGTCCTTTTTGGATTTTGTATTGCTAGGTCGAAACCTGGTTGTAGTCTTGGTAGTAGCAATGTCTGCTTTCTTTCTTAGACGTCCAGCCTCTCCCAAGTCAGTAGGAGCTGCTGTAGTGAATTCATCAATACGTTCCATTGTATCCTGTATGGTAACATTACAAACTGACAAGCAAGATGGATGGAGAACAGTGTAGTCTCTAGTACGCCCAACTGTCCCTCTAAAACTGGTCCCACTACTCAAAACAGCTTTTCTTGCTGGGTTCAGACCATCATTATTTGATTCATTATTTGCTTTGGATAAAGACTGACTACTGCCATCCATTAGCTTATCAAAATTTGTTGCCCCCTGTTTTGTTTTGTTGGATCTACAATATGTCCTACAGTTGCTTGGCCTAAGAACAGTTTGCACAAGTTCTTCACTAATGGCTTCCTTTGGATTTTCCATATCTTCTTTATCAAACTCTTCATCCTTGTTCTTAATATCTGAGAAATGTTCACTATCAAAATCTAACATATACCCTCCAGCTGTGGAGTCTTCAACTTCATCCTCCCATTCATACAAATGAGTTCTTAATGGCCCCTTAGTCTGAGATATATCTGATAGAGAGTCTGAGCTTTTCCCAATACGGGAGTCCCAAGAGTCAAGTAAGTCCTTGGTTTCTATGTTGTACCCAGAAACGTCTGTGGTTTCAGCATTGGTTTCATTACTGTCTTCAGCATTCTTGTAGATGAAGTGACTGTTCTTATTATCTTCACTAAAATTCTGTATTTTATCTACAAAAAAGAGAAATTATTAATTAATAAGTAATACAAATAGAGCCATGTTATAACCATCAACTCCAAGACACAAAGCTGAACTCTGACTCATCTCAGTGTAACAGAGGGAATTCTCAATGCTCACTGGCACACAAAAGAAGTAAAAAAGTCTCAATGAAATTATCCAAAAATTATTGATTTGTAAGAACCTAAAGCAAACTTAAGATTTTAAAAATATTTCAAACTTAAACATATATACAAACTTTTCCATTTTTGTGCAACAAAATACTTTCCCCATGACACTGATCTAATGAGTAGTTTCCTAATAGAATAATTTTGCCAACTTCAAGGTTAGCTCTCTGCATAAGGCTCTTGTAATTAAACAGAATGTTTAAAAATCCTCTTTGTAACTACTCAACCATTTATACAACCTAAAGGAAAAAAGAAGGAAAATCAGTAATAAATCAAGTTAAACACAGTTAACGATGAATGCTCAATCTCATTTTAAATTAAACTAAATTCAAACATTAGAAACAGAATTTCATTTACAGTAGAAACTCAGAATTACAAACTGACGAGTCAACCACACACTTCATTTGGAACCAGAAGTACACAATCACGGAGCAGCAGAGACAAAAAAGGCAAATACAGTTCAGTACTGTATTAAACAAACTACTAAAAAAAAAAATAAAGGGAAAGCAGCATTTTTCTTCTGCATATTAAAGTTTCAAAGCTATATTAAGTCAATGTTTAATTGTAAACTTTTGAAAGAACAACCATCATGTTTTGTTCAGAGTTATGAACAGCCTCCATTCCAGAGGTGTTTGTACCTGAGGTTCTACTGTAGAATCAACTTAGTTGTGCACCTGAATATGTTTCTATACATACACCACTGAAATATTTTATGAAGATAAATAAGGGATTAAGAGTAGGGGAAGAGAACAATCCTAGAGGAATTTCTAACCATTTTACAAAAAAAACACCTTCACCAGACTCCAGGAAGATAAACAAGAGAAGATTAATAATTTGTTCTTAAGAAGTTTAAACTTTGATTATAGGACACTTTTTACCCTTGGGTATTCACCTCTATGTATCTTGAAGAGAATTTAAAATATATGAGAAGATATGTTGGGTCCTAGACTTAAACTGACCAGATGACACTATTCAAAAACACACCAGTCTTTGTCTACACCAAATGCTGAAGTGTGATAATTTTTGAATTAGTTAGCACATATCATAAACAAGATGCACTCTGAAGTGTGGACAAGCTCTATGTATGGTAGAGCCTACCACAATGAGGCTCCAATCTTGGCTGGAACCTTTAAGTGATATTGTAACGAAGTGGGTGATGAAAGAAAGATACTTTTGGTTAAAGAACTGCCAACTTATAACTACAGTAGGGCTCCTGTGGCCATTATCTTCCTAATATACTATCTCCACTCCTCCCCCGATTGATCAAATACAAGCTTTCACTTTACAGTACAATAGCATACACATAACTGCAATTAATTCAAATTCTGATAGAAGTGATACTTAGTATATTAAATGCCTTTAGATTTCGAGTTCTATAGAAGAACATTCCTAATTTTGTTTCTGCACTCCTCTGAGAAATGTGTTCTCTCCATTTTACATTCTGTGAAGCTGAAATGTGAGTCGCCTAGAATAGTACTGTACATGTGAACAGGATGCACTCTAGGTCCTGGAACTATACATCTGAAAGCTTCCTGAGCAGGTCCACATTTTACTGAAACCTTTGTTTTCTGAAGATTTGCAGTGTTCTTTCAATCACCTTTCGAAAACTGATCACACTATAAATTCAGTATCCAACCAGCTTCTCATTCCTGGTTACTTTAATATAAATTTACCCTAAGGAGCTGATGAAGATCCTGGAAGAAAATTGTGGCTATGCAAGGTTTTGCTTCAAAGCGGATGATGAGAATTAAAAAGGGTGGAGACAAAGGGGCATCTGCAAGTGGGGAGGTGGAGGGGGGGGAAGATATTGCAAGGAGCAAGAGAAAATGAGACATAACAGGGCACAGAAGGGGAACAAAACAGTTTATTAAAACCTTTGTATGTTTTCTACTTCTGAATTAATCAGCTATTTATGGTGCACTGCTCCATATTGTGGATTTAGACCATGATAAGGTCACCTATTTGAAAAGAGTTCTGAACTGTGCAATAGTGTTAACTAACCATAATATCATAAGACTAAAGTAGCCTAGACTGTGATTAAACTAAACCCACTTGAATTCCTGTTAAAAACCCACGTTATTCATGAAATAAAAATCAAACTTTTAAAATACTCTTGTAAAAACTCAGTTCAACTGGACTTTCCTTAAAAGGTTAATATTAAATCTGCTCAAATTAAAGATATAAGAAATCTACAGTTTGATGTATGTGGAGCTTTCTTTGGACTTCAGGCTTTCCAGTGACAAACACAGATGTGGTAAACGTAGGGTCAACCTTATATCTTCATACACTGCTTCCAACCACTCACCTTCACCTTCTCTTGCCCGTCATACCTCCTTTGTAAAATATAGTCAACTAAAAAGTAATTTTTCATTTCTCTATAGTTTCAATGATATTTGCAGTATAAGATTAAGAATAAGGTATTTTCTAGAAAGATTTGTTCTTAATTCGCAGGTTATTGATGAACTCTGATGCTCTTGGCAGATAAGTGTGTCAAAGTTTCTGGCTGTTCTGTGGGAAGGGAAGGGTTGTTTTAAGTGAAACCTTAACTTTGGTTTTACAGGTTTTCCAAAGCTGAATTTTTCAAGGTGGTTTTCCAAGAAAAAAAAACATTAAATCTGCTCAACCTTACTTCAAGTAAGTTGCTTGAGAAACTCATTTTTCTTTTAAGTATTAGAATTGATCAGTGATAGAAAACCTCCTAGTCCTTACCTAGATGGTCTAGACCAGCATTTCTCGAACTGGGGTCTGTGGATCCCTGGGGGTCCCTGAAGGTACTTCAGGGGGTCTGCAGGCCCTGCTGATCAACTCCTCCCCCTCCCTATATCTTCCAGAGGCTACTGAAGCCAAACTGGGAGATTTAGCGCCACAAAAAGTCCAGCGGTGCAGTGGGGCTAAGGCAGGCTCCCTACCTGCCCTTGCTCTGCGCCACTCCCGGAAGCAACCGGCACATCCCTGCGGCTCCTTATGGGGGAAGGGAGGCAGGGGGGTCTCTGCACGCTGTCCCCGTCCCAGTGCCAACTCTGCGGCCAATGGGAGCTACGGGGGTGGTGCCTGCTGGAAGGGGCAGCAATTGGAAACCCCCTGACCCTTCCGCTCAGGAGCCGCTGCCAGAGAGATGTGCCAGTGGCTTCCGGGAGCCACCCAAGATAAGCACATCCCAGCCGGAGCCTGCACCCCCCTCCCACACTCCAATCCCCTGCCCTAGCCCAGAGCCCACACCCAAACTCCCTCCCAGAGCATGCACCCCCTCCTGCACCCAAATTCGCTCCCAGAGCCCACACCCGCTCCTGAACCCAAACTCCCTCCAAATCCTCACCCTACACCCCAACCTGCAAAAGTAAGTGAGGGTGGGTGGGGGAGAGTGAGTGACGGAGGAAGGGGGGATTCAGTGAGAGGGAAGAGGTGGGGTGGGGACAGGGTCTTGGGGGAAGGGGTGGAGTGGGGGTGGGGCCTGGGGCTGAGCAGAGGGGCTTGGGGGTCCCTGAAAATTTTAAAATCAAAATGGGGGTCCTCATGTTGCTAAAGTTTGAGAACCGCTGGTCTAGATCACATACTCGTGTAAAGTTAAAAAGTTTGCATTTTGTAAATTAGAAACAAAGAAAATATTTATGACAAGCAGACAAAGGGGTAGCTTATAAAAGAGGCAGGAATTAGTACATTACTTAGATTACAAATTTGTAATAAGTATTGAAAAATCTTCAGACGTAAATTTCAAAGATGGTGGTCCTCAACCAAACACATTTCCTCCAGCCATACAAAATTAGGGACACTTAGTGTGAGCTTTGTGGCTGACTTTAGTTGTCCTACTACAAGTAGGGATGTAAAAGTTTAACCGGTTAATAGATTAACCAATAAACACCCCTATTTCATAGATTCATAGATTCTAGGACTGGAAGGGACCTTGAGAGGTCATCGAGTCCAGTCCCCTGCCCCCGTGTCAGGACCAAATAGTCTAGACCATCATGGATAGACATTTATGTAACCTACTCTTAAATATCTCCAGAGATGGAGATTCCACACCTCCCTAGGCAGTTTATTCCAACGTTTAACCACCCTGACAGTTATGAACTTTTTCCTAATGTCCAACCTAAACCTCCCTTGCTGCAGTTTAAGCCCATAGCCTCTAAGGATAGAACAAGAAGCAAAGATGAACAAGTTTTCTCCCTCCTCCCTTTTAGATACCTGAAAACTGCTATCATGTCCCCTCTCAGTCTTCTCTTTTCCAAACTGAACAAACCTAAGTCTCTCAGCCTTCCTTCATAGGTCATGTTCTCAAGACCTTTAATCATTCTTGTTGCTCTTCTCTGGACCCTCTCCAATTTCTCCACATCTTTCTTGAAATGTGGTGCCCAGAACTGGACACAATACTCCAGTTGAGGCCTAACCAGCGTAGAGCAGAAGAATGACTTCTCATGTCTTGCTCAC